AACATTCGTAAAACCATAAATGTAATTAAATACATCAACAGATGTCAAAACAAAAACCACATGATCATATCATTAGATGCAGAAAAAGCTTTTGATAAAATCCAGCACCCTTCTTGATAAAAACCCTTGAACATCTAGGCATACGGGGAACATACCTCAAAGTAGTAAAAGCCATCTATGAGAAACCCACAGCCAGCATACTCCTAAATGGACAAAAATTGGAACCAATTTCCCTGAAAACTGGAACTAGACAAGGATGCCCACTCTCTCCCCTCCCGTTCAACATAGTATTGGAAGTCCTGGCTAAAGCAATCAGAGAAGAGGAGGCAATCAGAGGTATTCAAATAGGAAAAGAGGAAGTCAAGTTATCTCTCTATGCAGATGATATGATGGTGTACCTTGAAAACCCAAGATAATCTGTCAAAGGCCTCCTTACATTGATAAAGGCCTTTGGCAAAGTCTCAGGATACAAAATAAATGTACAAAAGACAATCGCATTTCTCTACACCAATAATAAACAAACAGAAACCCAAATAAAAAACACAGTTCCATTCACAATAGCCACAAAAAAAATGAAATACCTTGGCATCTTCCTAACCAGAGACGTGAAAGAGCTTTACAATGAAAATTACAAAACACTGCTCAAAGAAAGCAAAGCCGACATGAACAAGTGGAAAAATATCCCATGCTCATGGATCGGAAGAATCAACATTGTGAAGATGTCCATCTTACCTAAGGCAATCTACAAATTCAATGCAATACCCATTAAATTACCAACAACATTCTTCTCAGACCTAGAAAAAACAACACAGGAATTCATATGGGAACACAAACATCCAAGAATAGCCAGAACAATCCTCAGCAAAAAAAACAAAGCAGGTGGTATCACAATACCAGGTTTCAAACTTTACTATAAAGCTACAATCATCAAAACAGCTTGGTATTGGTACAGGAACAGGCATATAGATCAATGGAACAGAATTGAGATTCCAGAAGCAAAACCTCAATTTCTCAACCAACTCATCTTTGACAAAGCCCCCACCACCTACCAATGGGGAGAGGAGAACCTATTCAGTAAATGGTGCTGGGAAAATTGGCTGACCACATGCAGAAGATTGAAACAGGACCCCTACCTATCCCCATGCACAAAGGTTAACTCCAAATGGATCAGAGACCTAAATGTAAAACCTCAAACCATAAGAACCTTAGAAAAGGAAGGAAATACTCTCATGGAAATCGGAACTGGCATCCAATTCCTGTACAAAACCCGAAACCCACAGGACTTAAGAGAGAAGATAGACAAATGGGACCTTATTAAACTGACAAGCTTCTGCAAAGCCAAAGAAACCATCAAGAGAGCAGGGAGACAGCCTACAGACTGGGAAAAAGTCTTTGCCAACTCTAGGTCTGACAAAGGCTTAACATCCTGGATCTACAAGGAACTGAAGCGTACTGAAAAGAAGAAAACAAACAACCCCATTATAAAATGGGCAAAAGACATGAACAGACACTTCACAAAAGAAGACATTCGAGCAGCCAACAAACACATGAAGAATGCTCAACCTCACTAATCATCAGGGAGATGCAAATCAAAACCACACTGAGATACCACCTAACTCCAGTCAGAATGGCAATTATCAACAACTCAAAAAATAACAGCTGCTGGAGAGGGTGTGGTGAAAAAGGAACACTTCTACACTGTTGGTGGGAGTGTAAACTAGTGCAACCTCTGTGGAAAGCAGTGTGGTGATTCCTAAAAGCTCTAAAAATTGACCTTCCATATGACCCTGCAATCCCCCTACTGGGAATATACCCTGAAGAACACAAATCACTCTATAAAAAAGATACCTGCACACGTATGTTTATCGCAGCATTGTTCACAATAGCAAGAACCTGGAAACAACCATGCTGCCCATCAAAAGAGGACTGGATTAAAAAAATGTGGTACATATACACGATGGAATACTACGCAGCCATAAAAAAGAACAAAATCATGAATTTCGCTGCAACCTGGATGGAACTAGAGTCTATAATACCGAGTGACCTCTCACAAAAACAAAAATCCGAATATCACATGTTCTCACTCATATAATGGACCTTGAACATCCAATGCAATACTATGAGAAAATGACGGATGGTACTGGGAAACTATGGGGGGGAGGGGGATGGGATTAACAGTAGCAAATATCTGTCGGGGGATGGGAAAACACTTCTTATCTACAGGGTGCCTGAATGAAACGTCATTGTACACCTAACCCTTAACTGTACCCCACAAAACCATAATAAAAAAATACTGATTAATGAAAAAAAAAAAAAAAAAATCAATGACCTTGGGAGTGAGCAATGATAAAGAAGAAAAAATGTGTAAGGAGTGAACCTAGATCACTTCAGGGTTTAGATATTAGAAAGATGAGGAGACACTGGGCACCAGAAGAACAAGGAGTGATTAGCGAGATAAGAGAAATACTAAGATAGAGGCAAAATGAATAAAGGTTTTTGAAAAAAGAGGAAGGTGTGTCAAATGTCAAATAAGTCAATTAAGATGAGACTGAGAATTGAATGACTTCAGTGTAATTACTAGAACAAAAGCCGCACTAAAAGTGGATTCAAGAGAGAATGAGAGTCCTGCCACAACAGTAAATCAGTATAAGTTGTTGGTGCCCTATCACCAAAACCAATCCTGGAGAGGCCATAAAGGAAAACAGGGTAGTCAAGAAATTAGAAAGTAAAAGTGAGAAACCTAATGTTTTGACTGTGTGAGTCAGGGTGGTGACGGGAGAGGGTGTTGGCTATAGCTTGGGAAGAGAACTGAATATAGCTGTGAGAGGATAAGTTAGAGAAAAGTAGTTCAAGTTCTGCTCTTTGCTTTACCCCATCACTTAAAAACAAAACAAAACAACAAAAAAACAGTCACCTTGCAACACTAAGCAGTACTAAACAGGATGTAGTACAAAGGAATCTTCTATATTGCTGATGAGACTACAAAGTTTTACAAGTAGTCCGGAAAACAACAGGATGGTTTTTAAAAATAATGCCACTAGTAGGATACTCAGTGGTCTGATAAATTACATCATTAGATAAACAGTCAAGTAAAACTCTTGCATATGTTTATCAGAATACACAGCAGTTCTTCCTAGCAGATTTCTTCATAATACCAAAAAAGGGGGAAGCAACCCAACTTATCAGATCTATTTTATGTGCCTTTTTAGATTCACTCAAGCCCATGTGCCCACTAGGCCTTGCCTGCTTACTTAGCGGAAAGTCCTGACTACTGCTGCTCTTACCTTATTTCCTACCATTACCAGTTCTTTCAGTCTCTTCTGACTGCGATTGAGCACAGCTTATGTGTTCCACACAGTGAGGCACTGTAAGAGCTGTAACAAGTGAGAAGACCATGTCTGATTTGTCTAGACCATTGTGGTTCTAGCTCTTCTGATATTTCTGGGCCCGGGCAAAGTGCTATGCCACAGAGTATAGAAGCTGGTTTCCCTAGAAGTTGCCCAGAGGAGCTGGATAATATAATCCAAAAATTTGGGACAGTTAACAACTAGAGAGTAAACTATAATTGACAAGAGAAAACAGACTAAAAGGTATCAGTCGATAAGCTCTTCTTTCTCTTTCCTGGAAGGCTGGATTTAAGGTTTAGTGGTTCCATATGGTCTGCCTTGGAAGACTATCCTATATCACAAGCAACAGGCTATATTTTCCTATGAAATTACAGTCAGCTCAGAAACATTCCACCTTGTATAATTTTCCTTCATTCTGTTTCACATTTCATTGTCACTTATTCTAGCTTTCCTGAGATCATTCCTAACAACATCTCAGCATACTAGCTTTTTTCCAGATTCTGTTTTTCTAGAGAACACGGGCTAAGACAGTTACTGATGAAGATTGGATAAATAAACTGTGGAGTAGTCACACAATGTGGAATTTCACACAGAGATGAACTAACTATATTTTAGTTACAGGCAAGGATATGAGTAAGTACCAATAAAACAATATTGAGTAAAAAATGTATTAAAAGACTCCATACAACAACTTTTTAAGAAAGGTTCAACACATAATATTAAACAAAATATTTAGGCATATGTATGTGATTAAACAATTTTTAACAAGCAAGGGAATAAAAAATACAAAATGGCTGATGTTCTACTTCTTGGGCTGGATAAAGAATTTATTAGTTTTCATTGTATTATTAAAGTAAAACAAAAGATGGTTATGCACAAGCAAATTACGACATTGTGTTATAAACCTAAGAATAATTAAACACTGTGCATCCAAGCACCTGAATAGAAGGAAAGCAAGAAAAAAGGGGGGGCTGGTAGAGAAAATAGAAATAGCAAATAAAGATAATACAAAGAATGATTTTTCAGGCTTTGATAAAGCAAGGCTAGTATTGACTCATTTAAACATTATTTACACCTTTTTGGCATGTAGAAATCCCAGAGTCCGTCAGAAAAAAAACAAAACATAAAAATGATTTAAAAGACAATCAATTGATTTCTCATACTTACTGCTAGAAGTTTATCTCCAATCTGAAGTTTGCCATCTTTATGTGCTGCACCTCCTTCAATTATTTTAGTTACATAGATGCTATTATCCCCAGGAATATGCTGATTTCCAACACCTCCAGCAATGCTGAACCCAAGACCTGCTTGGAAAATATTAGTTTTAGATTATCATCGATAAATTTGAACTTAAGCTCCAAAAGAAATGGTTGGAAACTAGAAGGTAATTATTCCATTACATGAATGTTTTTTAAAATAGAAAACAATTCAGTTATCTACTCCCAAGTATGTATTCTGAAATCAGGAGACAAGTATAAATACAGCTGCTTCTATGGTTACAAAAAGATTCCTTTCTTCCAACCCTCAGGTTTTTTCTCAAAATCTTTTGGTAAATGCACTAAAGAGACATCGTAAAATTATGCTTTACTTCTGTTTGCATCATTTGTGCTTCTTACTAATACTTTTAATATTTTTCACAAGATTAAAATGATTGAGATAAAATAATAAAATTGTCTATTGGTGGTGGGAGAAACCAAGAAGCTTTAAAACTGTGGATACTTTTGTTCTTTTTTTCAATATTCTATGAATTAGCAATTTAAAATACGAATTCCTGTAATTCATAAATCCCATAGCTTTAATACCAAATTTTCAGCTCTCTATTCCTTTTTTCATGTTGGAATCCTACCTCTTCTATGAAGCCACACATTGAAATTAGTATTTCCATTTAGTCTCAATCCCATCAGTGTTTTCAAAATTCAGAAATCACATCTTAACAGTCCTTATTGCAGATGTAATAGCTCACAATATACACTACAAAACCTTTCTTCTATCTTAGCCTGTGAAAATGTATTTAAAGCACTTTGTAGATTAATTACCACAAGTTAATATCAACACTATATATGACTTTAAAGTGTTCAAGGACAAGAACATTTCATTTCTTCTAATGCTAGAAGTCTTTCTCATAATGATACTTAGTAAAAACAGGCACAAATCTACTTATAAGTAGAGAGTTTGTTCCCTACTTTTAAAAACGATTAAAGATAGGTTAAACAAATTTTGAATATAAAAAAAAAAAATCACATGGAATTTATTATAAATTTATATATTTGTGCACAGCAGTAAAATGTGTAAAAGTATACATAGATTAACATATGAACTTTCAAATATTGCAATGTAGGAACGTAAACATTCTAAAATTCTATTTAAAACAAAAATCAGGCCCGGCTCAGTGGCTCAGCCTGTAATCCCAGCACTTTGGGAGGCCGAGGCGAGTAGACTGCCTGAGCCCGTGGGTTCGAGACCCACCCGGGCAACTTGGTGAGACCTTGTCTCTACAACAAATAAAAAATTAGCTGGGTGTGGTAGCGCACGCCTGTAGTTCCGGCTGCTTGGAAGGCTGAGGTAGAAGGATTGCTGGAGCCCACCAGGTTGAGGCTGTAGTGGCACACTCCACTCCAGTCTGAGCAACAGAGTGAGACTCCAACTCAAAAAAAAAAAAATCAGTAGAGATGACAGAGAAATTTTTAAAATTCACTCAAGTGCTGTAGAAGATTACAGTACTGTTAATCTTAGAATATATGTCATAAATAAGTTCATAGGTATAGTTAATTCAGAGATTTCTTACTTAATAATTTCTCTTACTTTGTTTTATAACATACCTTTAGGTCCTTTAATGAGCTTTATTTCCATAATTTTTTCTGATACTGGTTTCCGTCTTTTCACATACAAGCGTACAATAGACCCTGCTTCTTTCAAAGCTTCAACTGCTTTGCTATGTGTTACATCCCGAACATCGACTTCATTTACTCGCAATATACAGTCATTGACCCTGAGAAAAAAATGAATTATAAAAAATAAATGTTAGAAAATGTATCAGTTTTCCACTTTGCCAATTTTTTGTTTTTATTTTTAAGTTAAACAGAACTATTTACTCCAGAAAACATAAATGAAGAAACTGCAAGTCAAATTCCAATGTATCAAAAAAATTCCAATGTATCAAATACTAATATAAGTAAATGCAAACATTTCTCAAAGACTAGTAAAAAAGCAATTAAAATAGGGCAAATAACAGATTGTACAGAAATACTAACAGTAACTGCAGCTATCATTTGTATTATTTGTATTATTATGTGCAGGCATTAAGATATACTTTATAAACACAGGAAACATTTATTTAGCACTAATCACATGCCAGGTCACAGAGATAGTAACTGTGAAGACTGAAACTCAGTCTTTGATTTATCCAAAAATAATTTTCAAGTGCCTTTTACAACCTAGATACTAGACTTAAAAGAATAAAGTTATTTCTTGAAATTTATATAAAGTAAAAGATTAGGTCATTTAATTCAAAGGTTTCTTATGTAAACAACTTATCATAATTTGACATGTTATTATGTTTTTTAAAAGTTTGATTTGTTCCTAGTCCTAACCTTTCCCCTAGTTCTGGTCTCAGTTTTGATTATGCAGTATTCCATTAAGAAAAAATGATGATCTTCTCAAATTGGGCAGGGAGGGAGAACAATACATACTTAAAGATTAAAACTGGCCCTAACAAGCTAATTAAATCTAATTAACCTTCTTAAGTGAAAAGAAATTCTATATCCCCAAAGACAGTGATACACTCTTGAAGTTATAATTACAGGTACGTTCTTCAGTGAAACAAAGGGAACATATTAGTTTTCACATAAGCAGCACAAATAAAAGAATAAAAGAATCAGTAAGTAAATGTCTATATTTATATAAATGTCAATTTATTGATTTTTATATCTAATTAATTTCCTTAATATACCACCTCTCATACCCAATGAGAAGTTGAAAAACTGAAGAGCTGCATAAAGTACAGTCTCAAAATAAGATACTGTTTTTATTTTTTTTGAGCTGGAGTCACCCAGACTAGAGTGCAATGGCACGCTCCCGGTCACCGTAGCCTCGACCTGCTGGGCTCCAGAGATCTTTCCACCTCAGTCTTTCAAGTAGTCAGAACTACAGGCATGCGCTACCACGCCCGGCAAATTTTTAATTTATTGTAGAGATGAGGTCTCGCCAAGTTGCCTGGGCTGGTCTTGAACCCACTTGCCTTGGCCTCCCAAAGTGCTGAGATTACAGGCTGAGCCACTGAGCCCGGCCAAGATGCTGTTTTTAACAGCTCACATAAAATCTTCAGCCTAAAATTTCAGGCTGTCACTATAAATACAAGCAAGGAAATATAAAAAGTACCATAATTTATGGCCAAAACAAAGTTTGCAAAAGATATCTTCCAAAATGGAACACTAAATTTAGACAAGAGACCAATATTAGTTTCATGTATTCAATTAAGAAAATATTAGGTTGGGCACGGTGGCTCACACCTATAATCCCAGCACTTTGGGAAGCCAAGGTAGGAGGACTGCCTGAGCTGATGGGTTTGAGACCAGCATGGCAACTTGGCGAGACCTCATCTCTACAGTAAATCAAAATATTAGTCAGGCATGGTGGTACGTGCCTGCAGTTCCAGCCACTTGGAAGGCTGAGACAGAAGGATCACCTGAGCCCAGCAGGTTGAGGCTGTGGTGACCGTGTCCATGTCACTGCACTCTGGCCTGGGAGACAGTGAGACTCTAACTCAATAAATAAATAAATAAAAGAGAAAATATTAAAGTGCGCATGTATTTTATTCTTTGTGGTATGAGATATAACTCAGATATGTATTATCCTCTGCATTTTTAAAAAAATCCTCTATATCTTAAATAAGTCTATATACGTTTCCCAGCCAGAAGGGAAATGAAAAGCATTTTGTGAATGTATTTGAAAATACAAAGAGAAACTCATGATTTTTTTTTTTTTTTTTTTGAGTTGGAGTCTCACTCGGTTGCCCAGACTGGAATGCAGTGGCTGCTCCCGGCCACCGCAGCCTCGCCTGCTAGGCTCCGGCGATCCTTCCGCCTCAACCTTCCGAGTAGCTGGAATTACAGGCATGCACTACCATGCCTGGCTGGTTTTTTGATTTATTGTAGAGATGAGGTCTCGCTGCCCAGGCGGGTCTCGAACCCACGGGCTCAGGCAATCCACTCACCGCCTCCCAAAGGCGCGGGATTACAGCCTGAGCCACCGAGCCCGGCAAGAAACTCATGATTTTTTATACATATGCTCACAAACATTTAAACCATCTAATTTATTATTCAAAATGTTATAATATTTAAGATGAAACGGAATTCCTAAACAAAAGGAGGGAAACAATGTTTAGAGTGTAATTATCTCACTCACTCACTTGAATGTTATTTGAGTTATTATGATAGTGTTTCTTATTTGTATTTATTCCTTGTCTAGTTTGCTTCAAGAAAAATACACAAAGTGGATTCAGCATCATAATAGAAAGCACTAAACATACCGCAATCTTCCATCTTGGGCAGCTGCACCCCCTGTGATAATTTTGGTAATGAAAATACTTGAGTCATCTCCAATGTGTGGGTTGTCTGTACCGCCTGCAATACTGAAACCAAGTCCTGAATTTCCCTGAGGACAGAGGGAAAAAAATGAAACTTAATAAGATTTATCTTTAATGATAAATTCCTGTCATTAGAAGATCTACAAACTGTACTAACCTAGAGAGTACATATAAAAGTATATGTGTGGGTAATATAAGCAGATTCTCAATTAAATGTATATGCCCTTAAAATAAGGAAAGTCCTTTCAGAGGCATTACCTACTGAGTAGGTGAGGTTGAAGAAAATGTACTGAGTACTTGTGAAATCTAGTCTGCAGTTCTTTCTTTAAAAATATGTGTAATCTGCCATTGGATTAGTTAGCCATCTGCAAAGGTGTCACTATAAGTTTCTTTTAGACTACACATCTCAGTCATGTTTGGTAGAGAAAAATCTCTCTTAAGAAACAAGCAAGTGATCTTTCTCCTGCTATTATTTCTGAAAAGTAAAACCAATATATGATTTCAGTCTTTGACAAAGTGAATGGGGATGGTGCTTTTTTCCTGCTAACTTGCCATCAGTTTATTTTTAAATGACCAAATGGTAGCTGTTAAGCAATAGCTGCTATCATTCCCTGACATGTTTAACCAATATACCTGACTAGCAAAAGGTATTTTTTCATACTGAAAGCCCAACTGGAGAACTTAAGACTGGTGAGCTTTCTTGATAGAAAAGTAAATTTTGCCAAAGTAACTCTACTTTTACCTTGTTTACAAGCTGAAGAAACTAGATTTTTCAGTAATATTTTCAACACAGAAAGGGTTTTATTGCTACAAAAGGCTTTTAAAAACAATTTATGTGAACAATGGTATTTAAAATTGTTTACTTTTGCAAGAATGTTCTAACTTGATTTCAGGCAACTCAAGTAAGTGGAAATATTCTGAAACTAGTATTTAACTGTTAGTACTACATAGCTTAAACACCTACTCTATCACCATTTGTCTTAAAATTCTATTTTAATTTAAAAATGGTTTCCAATCTAAACCCTTTAAGAGTTACTAGAATCTCAGTAACAATACCAGTAGATTGTGGGAGGTTACTAGATCACTTAGATACTTGAGTTCTTTAACTAGTGAAATATACAATGTACAATCCAACTAAGCAAAAAGAGTTTAAAAGGCAGTGGGAATGAATGAAAAAAAAAATGAATAAAATAAGAAGTTAGGAGATGTCATTAAAATACCTTATTAAAATATGTACAATACATTAATAATGTTCTTACTTAAATGTTATTCAAGCATCCACCTAAACTTGAGCAGGTGACCTGCATTTAAGTAGTTGGCAGTAAGTTATACACATAAAATATACATGTAAAAGACCTTCTCAGGTCTATTTACTTTTCTTAGAGTCTATTCTGGCTTCAAACATAAGCAAATGTAACCATCTAAGGATTTAATCGTAAACATACATTCAGTTATTTAGGAAATTTACTAAGTGTCCATAAAATGCTAGCCAGACGAGGTGATATTACTGAAATACAGTATAAACTGAATGCAGATATTCTTAAGGAGAAAATATATCTTTAAGAAAATCCACATATCTGAATCATACCCTTAGGTTATTTTCTGTCTGAGTGAGTACATGATAATAAGTTTTTAATAGTCTTGTCCGTTATAACTATAGTTATTTTGTTAGGAAAGAAAAATAATGCAATGACCATGTTACTAGCATACTAAATACTATTTAAAAGGAATAATAATATTTAATTATGTACATATATAAGATAAAAACAAGATTTAAAAAATAAGAAATATCTGGGAGACTAGAAGAGGCTAAGAAGATATTAACTAAATGTCATGTGGTATCCTGGAAGAGAAAAACATAAAACATAAAGAAATCTGAGCACAGGCTTCAGTTAATAATAATGTATCTATACTGGTTCATTATTTGAAACAAATGTACTCAAATAATGTAAGATGCTAACAATAGGGGAAGCTGAGTCCAGGGTAAATGGAAACTTTTGAGAGACTATCTTTACAACTTTTCTGTAAATCTAAAACTATTTTAAAATAAAAAAAATTTATTTAAAAAACAAGGTCATAGCCGGGCTCGGTGGCTCAGCCTGTAATCCCGTGCCTTTGGGAGGCTGAGGTGAGTGGATTGCCTGAGCCTGCGGGTTTGAGACCCGCCTGGGCAGCGAGACCTTCTCTCTACAATAAATCAAAAAATCAGCTGGGTGTGGTAGCGCATGCCTGTAATTCCGGCTACTCGGAAGGCTGAGGCGGAAGGATCACTGGAGCCCAGCAGGTTGAGGCTGCGGTGGCCGGAAGCGGGCACTGCACTCCAGTCTGGGCGACAGAGTGAGACTCCAACTCAAAAAAAAAAAACAAAACAAAAACAAGGTCACTACAGAAAAGAACCATGTTCTAAAAATACCTTGGTTAATTTTAAGATGAGTAAACTTATAAAAAGAAAATATCATATGGTTCTCATTTTGAAAGACAGTCTCCCTCGGATTCTAAATGAAAGAGCAGTATATTTCAAAGTTCGTTTAAAAAACAGATTAAGAAAATTAAGAGTTTTTACCCTTTCAAGTGTGATTTCTTCATATTCATAATCTGCATCTGTGCCATTAACCTAATGGAGGAAAAGAAAAGTAGCTCAGAAATTCAGAGTGTAAAATCTGAAATGGCAAGACATAATTTTTGCATGATTTATTAATGAAAACCTGTTAAATGTGACAGTAATAAAATAAAATAGCTTCATTTAAATAATGTAATGGAAGATTTTCAAGGAATAGAAGAGTATAAATGTGATTAATGAGTCAATCAACATCATGACTTTCAAACAGAGGAAGGGTACACTCAGCTTTTGAACTTTGTCTCTTTTCTCTGCCTTGATCCACACATCCAATCAGTTGCCAACTCTTCCTGATTATTGAATATGTCAATTTTTCTGAAAAACATCATTTCTTCATTCTCATTTTTTATTACCTTGATTCAGGCATTTGTTAAACCTCTACTGGAATACTGCCAATACAAATGGCCCCATCATTTAGATTAGTATTCCCTTCTGCCCAAATCACTCTATGGTTTTTCTTTTCTTTTCTTTTTTTGAGGTGGAATCTCACTCTGTTGCCCAAGCTGGAGGGCTGGAGTGCAGTGACACGCTCATGGCCACCTTGGCCTCAATCTACTAGTCTCAAGTGATTCTTCTGCCTCAGCCTTCCAAGTAGCTAGAACCACAGGCATGCACCACTATGCCTAGTAATGTTTTGATTTATTGTAAAGATGAGATCTCGCCAAGTTACCCAGGCTGGTCTTGAACTTCTTTCCATTACATATCCTGTAATTTCCCACTTCTCCATTGGAAACTTGTGCTTTCTCTATCACAAAAGCACTTGCACATTTTATGTCCAAATCAGATTCACCAGTCAAGATCTTGTTCATAATTTAGAGACCAAGCACATTCTCTTACTCCCTTCAATTTATTACCTATTCTCTCTTGAAAGAATTCTCAGTGAGGGGCATGGGTGAAAGGTAAGAAGCCCCTGAAATCAGATTAACCAGGGTTTGAATCCTTGCTTTAAAATTTCTTGTGATGTGAGGCTGGGCAAAATAAGTCAAATGGGGATTGCGATAAATTATATTTCTGAAGATGCCTCACATATTCCATCTCACCTGTTCTTTTGAAGTATGACTAAATCATCCTACCGTCAAGAGAGGTGTAGTATATTTCCCCTTCCCTTAGATATAGACAAGCCTTGTTACTAGCTTTCATTTAAAAAAAAGGTGGGCAACTCTCTCAGCCCCCCCCGTCCCCACTGTGGGAGCTTTTCTGTCCTCTTAATAAATCCTGCTTTCAAAAAATAAAGAAGTGACACAAATGATGGTGAGTCGTTTTCAAGGTTAGGTCATATGATGCTTTGTAGTGTTTTCTTTAGTCTTAGAATGTATTTTTCTAGAACTCAGTAGCTATAATGTGAGGAAAACTCAAACAGCCCAAAGAAAGATACAAATGAAGGAGAATCCAGGCCCTTGGGCAACAGACCCAGGTGCACTCTAAACCAGCAACTACTATCAACTGCCAAGCCATGTGAATAAGGATATTTGGACTTCCCAGCTTTTCCAGTGTCTCCTTCAACACCATTTAAAGCAGAACCATCCAGTTAATCCAAAAACTCATGAGAAACAATGAACTGTTGTTTTTTAAGCCACTAAGCTTCAGTGTAGTTTGTTACACAATGTTAGATAACTAAAACAGAAATAACAAAACCTATGTAAGGTACTTTGGTTTCTTCTTCACTATACTATAAAAAAGTAACTTTTAATTCAGGTCTAATATAGGGCCTAGGAGTTTTTTCTTGGAGTACTTTTGAAGCCCATCTCTACTACCCTTTGGGTTCTTCTGGTTCCTGTGGATTAAAACCCAATTACTACTTTGCGTCCACTTCTTTCTCACCTAAAGACATTTTCCACTTGTTTTAGAGATATGTTCTGAAAGCATTTACACATATTTTTATCTACAACGTCTATGCATCTGTTATACAGGAAGGTCATACATGTGCATATCCTGTTGACTTGACTGGAAGTCCTTTGTTATGAGTAAAAACAAAATTAATTATTTGAAGCTATATCCCTTTTCTTATTCTAAAGGCTGTTTGTATTGTCTTTATTCTTTCTTCTTCAGATTATCAGTCTTTATCAAAGTAGTTTTAACATTATTGATGAATCTATAACATTTCATGCTATTACTTTCCACTTTTATTTTTTAACAATTCCTTATTCTTTCTTTAGACTTTTAGAAAAAGCCTTTTAAGTTAAATTTTCCATTTATGCTTACTCTTTTCTGTTTTTAGAAACCTCCATTATCAGGTCGGGCACGGTGGCTTAGCCTGTAATCCTAGCACTTTGTGAGGCTGAGGTGAGAGGATTACTTGAGCCTGGGGGTTTGAGACCAGCCTGCAACTTTGTGAGACCTTATCTCTACAATAAGACACGCGTGGTGGCATGTGTCTGTAGTTCCAGCTACTTGGAAGGCTGAGGCGGAAGGATCACCTAAGTCTAGCAGATCAAGGCTGTGGTGGCTGTGAGCACTTCAGACTGGACGACAGAGTGAGACTCCAACTCAAAAAACAAACAAAAAAACCTCCATTATGTTTTACAAATTTTCCTTGGCATATGGATTAGCCAAATCTCAAAATTTCTACACTGGGCTCTATTTTTGTTCATTTGTTTATTTCCACGTAATAAAAAATTTTGTTCCAGAAAATATTTCCAAATGAGTATGTGCTTTTAAGGACCCTTTTGGTGTTAACATGTAAAATTTTGGTATTATCTTATGATTTCTGTCTCAACAAATCTGAGATTTTTACCACTAAGTCTCCTCACGACTTAGTAAATGTTCCTGGTGCTTAATTTAATGCTAGTTCATGATGTTGGCTTCCAGGTAGCATAGAGCGAGGTTTTCAGGTAGCCTTGAGTGATTTTAAAAATGTGAAGCAGAAAAAGGCTATATGGACATCTAGTAACTTTATTCCTCAATCCTCAATAACTTGAAACTGTCTGGTAATTTCAAATACAGAGACAAGTCAATAACATTAAACACATTCACACTGAGCTTCTAAGGGCCAAGAGTGTATTATCAAAAACAAATTTTTTTGTGGGCAGAACATTTAAAATCTACTCAGCCATTTCCAAGCATGCAATACATTGTTATTAACTCTAGGTGCCCTGTACAATAGATCTTAAGTTACTGTTTGCCTAAAATTGTGTATCCTTTTACCAACATCTCCCCATTTCCTTCCCCTTCCCTGGGAGGTAACCACCATTCTACTCTTCCTTCTTTGAGTCTGGCTTTTTAAGATTCTACATGTAAGTGAAATCATGATTTGTCTTTGTGCCTGGCTTATTTCACTTAATATGATGTCCCCCAGGTTCACCCATGTTGTCACAAATAACAAAATTTTATTCGTTTTAAGTGTATAGTATTCCATTGTGTGTAATATATACCACATTTTCTTTATCTATTCATTTGCCAAGATACTTAGGTTGTTTCCATATCTTGGCAATAGTACATAATGCTGCACTGCAAAGAACACCAGAGTGCAAGTATTTCTTTGGAATACTGATTTAAGTGAGAATGCTGGGTCATACAGCAGTTCTACTTTTAATTTTTTGAAGAAACGTCCATAGTGTTTTCCATAATCGCTGTACTAGATTTCTATACCACAGCCAACACTTGCTATCTTTTGCCATCCTAACGGGAGTGAAGTGATGTGTCACTGTGGTTTTAACTTGCATTTCCCTGATAGCTAGTGATGCTGAGCAGTTTTCACCTATTGGCCGTTATATGTTTTTTGAGAAATGTCTTTCAGGTATTTTGTCCATTTTTAAATTGGATTGTTTTCTTGCTATTGATTTCAGTTCTTTACATATTTTCTATATTAACCCCCCTGAGACTTAAGGTTCACAAATATTTTCCTCTCATTCTGTAGGTTGTCTCTATACTCTGTTGATTGCTGCCTTTGCTGTGAAAAAGCTTGATGCAATTCCATTTGTCTGTTTTTATTTTCACTGCCTATACTTTTGGAGGTCAAACATTCTTTGTCCAGTCTAAGGTCAAGAAGTTTTCCCCCTATGTTTTCTTTTATAAAACAAAGTTTCCCCCCTATGTTTTACAGTCTCACTTATTAACATTTATGTAGTTAATCTATTTTTTCTTTATTTTTCTTGAGTCAGGATTCCATACTGTCTCCCAGGCTAGAGTACAGTGGCATGATCATGGCTCACTGCAGCCTCGATCTCCTGAGCTCAAGCAATCCTCTTCCCTCAGTTTCTCAAGTAGCTAGGCGTGTCTCCATGCCCAACTAATTTGCTGACTTTTTGTAGGACAAGGTCTCACGGTGTGGCCCTCGCTGGTTTCAAGCTCCTGGGCTTAAGCAATCCTCTCACCTTGGTCTCCCAAAGTGCTGGCATTACAGACATGAGTCACCATGCCTAGCCTGGCCTTAATCCATTTTAAGGTGATTTTCTTTTTGATATGGAGTGAGAAAAGGGTCAATTTTCATTGTTCTGCATGAGGATATCCAGTTATCCCAACACCACTTATTGAAGTCACTGTCCTTTCCCCCCATGTGTGCTCTCAGCACTTTGACAATGATGGGTTTACCATAAACTTGAGAATTTGTCTTTGGGCTCTCTATTCTAGTCCATTAGTCTATTTATCTGTTTTTGTGCCATGCTCTTTTGATTACCTTAGTTTTGCAGCAGATTTTGGATATAACAGTATGAGGCCTTAAGCTTTGTTCTTTTTGTTCAAGATTGCTCTGGCTATCTTTTGAAGCTCATTATAAACATTAGAAGTGTATTTCCTATTTTGCGAAAAATATTAAAATTTTGGCTGCATCAGTAGCTCATCTGGGGTACTATGAACATTTTAACAATATTAATTATTCCAAGCCATGAACACAGGATATCTTTTCATTTATCTATGTCTTCAATTACTTTCATCAATGTGTTACAGTTTTCAGTGTACAGATCTTTCACCTCTTTGATTAAATTTATTCCTAAGCATTTTATTTTATTTTGGTGGTATAGTAAACGGCATGAAATGAAAGAAGTCAGACCTTATAACTG